CATCCTGAGTGGGCAGTGGCCCTCTGCACGCCTGTGGATGCCTCCCTCCAGGCGTCCTCCACCTCACCTCCATCGCCTGGAGCTGGGACCCTCACACAAGCTGGTCTCTCTAACTGTGTTCCCCAGCTCAGCGCTTGGCACCCAGATCTCAACAACTACCCACGGGCATGAGGGGAACGGCATGTTTACACCCAGCCCTCTGTGCGTCTAGGACCGGGAGGTGCCGTTTTCAATCCTGATCAGTGAAGGAGATGGTGAGGCACAGGGCACCAGGGAGGCGCAAGGCTGCTGATTCATTTACCGAGGCTGTAAAACGACAGCTGCTTTTTCAGAAAAGAGCAAACAAACACAGGGCCCAGGGTGCCTCAGGGAACAGGAAGTCACTCTTCCAAAAAACAGGAGGAGCAGGACAGGGGTCTCGGCCTTCTGCTCCTTTCAACCAACTCTGATAAGATAGTTTGGGGGATGCACCCGGCCTTCCTCTCCTTGTGGGGAGGACACCAGCTTTGAGTTTGCTGATTGTGGGGGTCAAGCCTCCTGGTGTCTGAACGTACAGTGAATGGAGAGCCATCAAATCCTGGCTGTCACAGGTGCAGTAGCAGGAGGCTTTGGCTGGGGCCTGGGGTCCCAGCTACCACTGTCCGCCTCGCTTCTGTACTTAGACGCCTCATCTGTGAGGGGAAGGGCAGGAACAGGCAAACACAAAGTCACTCTGGCCACACCTTTCTCTTCTACGAGGCTATTTCTGTCCACCTCCATCACCGTGAGCTTTCTCTTCCTTGAACTCTTAACCGAAATTTCCTTTGTGCTGATGTTAATTCACACGCCACTGAGATGAGCTCATTCTCCATTTGTGTGCCTCCATTTTCCAGACTGCCTCTCGCAAGGTCTGGCACTGTGGGCTCTTTAAACGGTTTTGAATTTAAACGTTTCTGAAACGCAACTTCAACATTTCTGAAACTCAAACCAAATCCTGTGTACTACCCAGTTGAGAAGTGGTTACTGACCTCTGCCAGCAGACACGGACAAGCCTGGCTGCACATCCGAGTCAGCTGGGCAGCTTTTGGAAGCTGAAGATGCTGACTCTGAGGTCTGAGGCAGGGCCCAGTCCTCAAACTCCCTAAGTGATTCTGATCCATCCTATCCTTGGGAAGCACAGGCCTCTGCAGGGGCCAGGCCCCTGATCTTGGTACACAGGGGCCGTCGTCTGGGCCTCACCTTATCTTTCCAGCATCTCTGGCCAGGCCACGTATGAGTTCACATCCTCCTTCATTGTGCCCAGGTCTCTGGTGGTAACCTGGCTCAGCACATTCTGTCCTCCCTGGTGAACAAACTCACTCAGCCTTCAAGTCCTCAGCTACCCCATGGCCCCGAGACCCAGTAACCTCCTGACTCCTCCTTGGGGTCGACAGGGACTTTATACCCTTAGCCATGCAGCTTCCTTCATAGCCTTGTGTCCGGATCATGCCTTACGGGGCTCCTCTGGGAGATGACGAGCTCCTCAAGGTCAAGAACTTCACCCCCCACCCCCATCCCCGCCCTCATCTCACCAGACCCACATGGGGTCCAACGGAGCAGAGTTGCTGACACGCAGTCAGATTTCATGAACAAAATGAATGCTTATTTAAAAAGCACTTTTCTTATCCCCTGATAAAAGCACTCAAATATGGTTTTACAATATAGAAATGATTGACTTGTGATTTTTAATTTCCTGATGAAGCCCTGGGGCTTAACAATCCCAGGAGCAGCAGGAACCGGGATCTATTTCTGTGGCAGGGAATACTTTCCTCCTATTGTTCAGAGAGAAGTTCCATTCACCTCCAGGGTGGGACGAAACAATGGTGCATGCTCCGGGAAGCTGCAGTCCGGGAGAGGGCTGGTGAAAGCGCAAATGCCCCAGAGCAATGCTAGCCCCTTCAGCTTTAAATTGTCCACTGGAACTCTGCCTTGACACAGCCTGATCTAACACAAAGATGTGGTTTTTAGAGTTTGAAAGATCAGGGCTGGTTCCCTTCCTTACTAGTTTGAGAAAGATAAACCTCTCTGGCCTTCCTCATTCCAACTCACTGAAATACTGTGTGTGTTAAGGGAAGCAGGTATCCAGAGCAAATTGTATAATGCTGATCTGGAACAATCACCTCAATAAACATCAACTATCTACTGCCAAAAAATACATAAAAGAAAGAAACGGCACATGTCCCTTTCTGCAGTACATAGCAAACGTTGGGCCAGCAGTGATCGCTGAGCAGCAGTGAGGACTCAAGGGGAGATGGGCTCGGCCAGGGGCAGATGAGGAGAGGGAAGCAGGGGAGGAGAGGGAGTAAGGACCACGATAGGGAGAAGGCGGTCTGAAATATTCCTAACTCCTGGATGTCTGCATGTGCCAGAAAGCACGCTTGGGGGAAACAGGAGAGAAAAGCTCCGTGGAAAGCCCTCCTCCCTCCCCTGAGTGCTCTTGGCTGGCTTCAGGCAGTGCATTTCCGCGCTTGTCCTAAATCACTGTTAATGTCTTCGGTAAAGGGCTCCAACAGCAGACTCCCCTTCCTTCACATCCGCTTCCTCTGGCCACAGGGTCATTTTTCTTCATGTACAAAGAAAACATAGGAAACCCTGCACGGTCATGAGGATGATGCCTCTGATGGAGGCAAAGCACAGCCTGGTTCCTCTCCATCCACAAGAGGCGGAACCTGCTTTAGGGTGGAGCTGGACAGGGAGGGCCTTCCTCAGCGACTAGAGCAGAGAAGACACACTCCTGTGCTGGAATGAGAAAAACAGCAGCTTCCCTCCTCGTCCCTGTCACTCGGTCCAAGCAGCCTGAGGAAACCAAACTTCTGTCAGTCCCTTTCTAACGCAGCTCCTAAATGACCCGCAAGGGGCTCTGTGACAAGGGGCAGGAAAGCTGACATTTCACTTTCTTCCTTCTTTAAGGAAAGTTACAAAGAATAATAAATTGTGGGCCAGATATTAGATATTATATCATAACTCAATGATCAGTTTTCAAAAAAAAAAAAAAAAAAAAAACTGGAACACACTAAAATGCAAAAATAAATAAATAAATAAATAAATAAGACCTTGAAGGCCCTAAAAAATTTGGTAAGGCTTCAGATGTCACTCCACAAATCCCCTTGAGGACTTGAGCTAAAGAAAACTCATCTTGTCATGCGGATTCATTAAGCTTGCCTAGGAAGTAAAAATGAAGCCTCAGGATAGAAGATGGTGATATTTTACCCAGATTTGGTCAGCCACATCAGATTCTACTATTAATTTAGTAATTTAAAATTCATAAAGAGACAACAGGCCTTTCAAAGGAACAATTCCAAAAGCAGCAATCTAATTTTTTAAGGTAGCCTTTATATTACAGACCTGTTATCATACGTAATATTCCATCTCAAAGAGACACTCGTTTTCTTCTAGACAAATCTCTCAGCCTGTGCTTCATTCCACTTTGCCCATTGGTCTGAACCACTTCTCCTTCACCTTGGAAGCCAGAGGTGACCCATCTCAGCCACTGGGTGCCACGTTGAACTGCTCTGAGATAGCCCCATGGTATGAATGCTTGCCCAGAAACACTGGTAAGAAAGAACAGTCTCTGGACAGAGGAACTGCTAACATGGGAAGCATGGACTTGTTCTGATTGCCACACACTCCCATAACCCACTTTATTTGAATGAGACCTGAATGGCTTAATACTATTATTGGATGGACTGGATACATTCATCCTTGCTGTGCAGAACAGACATAAATATATCCCTTCGTGACACACGACTTCATTTGCTTGGACTGTCCTAGCTACAATGGTTTCAATAGATAAGTAGGTCTGCTATTTAATTATAGTTTTATTTATTTATTTTTATTTTTTGAGATGGAGTCTTGCTCTGTTGCCCAGGCTGGAGTGCAGTGGTGCCATCTCAGCTCACTGCAACCTGAGCCTCCCAGGTTCAAGCAATTCTTGTGCCTCAGTCTCCCATGTAGCTAGGACTGCCAGTGCATGCCACCATTGTATTTTGAGTAGAAATAGGGTTTCACTATGTTGCCTAGGCTGGTCTCCAACTCCTGACCTCAGGTGATCTGACCACCTAGGCCTCCCAAAGTGCTGGGAATGCAGGCATGAGCCACCATGCCCTGCCTAATTATAGTTCCTTTAAAAGTATGCACCAATAAACCCTTCTAAACTAAAATCATAGCTTCATCATTTTGGCAAGATGCCCACGCCCTAATATGGGCAAGGAAGGAGAATGAGGAGTGAAATAGCAGCAACCTGTGCATCAGGCCTCAAAGCTCCAGAAAAGCGTGGGCCTGGGAGGTTGTGCCTTCCTGTCAGGGACATGGCTCCTGCAGGCATACACAGAGTGGTGTGTCTGAGACACATTCAAGCAGAGCACATGTGGGAGAAGGTTGCCATATGAAGCTAGAACTCCCATTCTGCCAGACAGCAAAGGGTTTGCATGTTTTCCTGCCCTGTAGATGACATGAGTGTCAATGAAGTCTTAAAACTGGCCCCAAGCCCAATAGCTCCCCAGCCCCTGCTTCTGTCTGTCCTCACTATCCTGAACACCAGGAAGAAACCCTGATCAAGAACCCAGGAGCCAAATCTGGTGTACTCTGATTTTGGATTTCCAGCCCCCAGAACCATGAGAAACAAACATCTGTCATTTAACCTGCCTCATCTATGATATTATGTCACAGCAGCCCAAACTGACAATGATAGTCCCCGCTTAGACAAAATCTATGATCCTAAAACCCCTTTAAATCCCAGGCTGGATCCTGAACCTCCATGAAGTGTTTAGGCCCCAGAACCATACAAGTCACAGAGGCTTCGGTCACCGTGGCACTCATGAGTTAATGTTTTCCCAAACCCAGGAGAAACACCAAACAGTGTTCCTTCGCTGTTCCACAGGAGTAAGCACCAAGCTCTTTAGGAAATAGCTGGTCCAGTTTTCTCATTCCAAATCTAAACCTCAAAGCTAAATGCGCAAGGTGACATTGAAGGCCGTACTCACGTCCAGAGACTCCAGGCAGTACCAGCAGAAGGCGTGCTTGCAGTTCTTGCACATCATCTGGGCGCAGCCTTCGTCTCGCTCGATGTAGACCCTGCACTTGGGGCAGCGCTTGATGGGCGCATCGTCCTCTTCCATTTTGAACGCAGCACTGTGGGAGAAACGGCGTGAGGACCCTGCACAGACAGACCCCACAGGAGACCCAGGAGCATCGGCTATGCTGGAAGCATCAGCTCCACTTCACAGACTGAGTTCTCTTGGTATTAGATGGAAAAAAAAAAACAAAAAACAAAAAACAAAGAACCAGAAACTCCAGAAAAAAAAAATTAACCAAAACACTGTGAATCAGCCAATTTGAGTTAGGAAAAATTAAAAAAAAAAAAAACCAGCAACATCAGCACGTATCTAAATTTAGAGATATTATGTATATAGACAAAAGAAAATACAGCAAAAGGCTTATTATAATGGAGGTATCTGAATAATCATGTTAAGGCCAAACAGTGTCTGCTTAGTCACAGAGCTGTCTACTTTCCAAAGGGTTGATATAAATTGTATGTACTTTGCTGTTAAAAGAAAAATAAATAAATGTTGCAAATGCACACACATAAACACACACCATTCACTTGGATAGATCCACCTGGCTCTTCTTACAAAATTGTTTTCCTCAGAAGTTGGCTAGGTCTGCAGGGCTAGCACAAAGGGCTTTAAGCTGATGTCAGGGTTGGCTCTGCTACAAACTAGCTGGGAAGCAACTCTCCAAGCCCTAGTTTTCTCATCAGTGTGACCGTGAGAAAAGGTTCCGTGTGACAAGAGCACAGTGCAGGGTTGCAGCTTTTATGAAGTGCTTGATAAGGGGCAGCAGTAGTTCAATGTTGCTAAGAAAGATAACACAGACATCAGGTATGACTCACCTCATGCTGTTAAGTTTTAAAAGATGGGTAAGAACATTCATAAAAGCATCTGAAGGAATAAATGATAAACTGTTAAGAGAAGTGATCACTGATTATGGGGGTGCATTTGCTATATTGTTGAACTCGCTAAGTTAAACCAACATCAGCAGGAGAAAATGCATCCCTCCTTTGCAGTGAGCAGCTTTTTCAGAATTTAACACATGTGTGAGTATATATTCACTGAAGTTGAGCAAATTCTGGCATTCTGAGTGCATTCTGGCTGAAGGATCTCTCACAAGCTTCCTAGTCAATATGAGCATTAAATGTAGTTTCACCTTAGTATGAGCTGTCTGATGACTGGCAGTGAACAATCCTCCACTTGGGGTGCACATTCCCACTGAACGTGACTGTTTGGTCCATTAGTAGAAGGCAACAGAGTAAAAAATAATGAGAGAAGCAGTATGTCCTCCTAATTAGGAGCACAGAGTCTTGAGACAGACAGATCCTAGCTGTGCTATTTATAACTTACGTGTCTCAGTTTCCTCGTCTGCAAAACAGAATAAGGCTAATAGCATCCATCTCTACAGGCTGTCGTGAGAATTACAGAGGTGGCACATGTTAAGCGCAGAAGCCAGCACATAAGTACCAGGCACTCGATAAACAGTAGCTATTATTAAGAACTGTTACAGAAAGATAACACAATGGTCACTAGCTCAAATGCTTCCAATTTAAAAGCAAACTGCAGACCAACCTGGCCACGCAGGATGTGATAAAGAATGAACTAAGGTTGCTGCAAGGAGCAAATGAGATAGCATATGTGCAAATGTTTCCAGAGAGATCCAGCACACAGCCAGCTCTGAGCAAACCGTAGCCCTGGCTTCCTTCTGAGAATGACTTTGATTTTGCAAAAAGCTGGAGGTCATGAGACACCGAATCTGGTGATCGAGGTTGGTTTTCAGGTTAGATAACATTGTTTCGGTTTGAAAGCCAGGTGTCACCTTAAAGCTAAGAAACCAGTTTTCTCATGTGACTCACAAGATGATTTTGAAAGAAACGGCAGGAACACCTGTACAGTGTCTCCTGGGGAGACATTTCAAGATGAAAACAGTTAAAATATGCAAGTTCTGGTGTACTGTGCTATGCATAAAATTTTGCATGATATAGACAATGGTTTTCAAATATTTCCTAGTATCTGAGTTGGATTTAAAATTATTACTAATAACATTTACTGTAAACTCATTATAAATGCAGACAAGAGTTTTGACAGTTTAATCACAATCTACATGTGGCCCAGGATCTTGAAGGGGCGGGCAGGTGATGCTAAATGAGTGAAGTGGTCAAGGGGCTGGATAAAAACATGGGTGAGGAGAAGAGTTAACCCAAAAAAAAAAAAAAAAAAGAAAAAACCCTCCAATATAAAAACTAGCTGAGTGCCTTCTCACTTATAAATGGCAGCTGATAGGCAGCCTCAGTTCCAGGGGGACAAGAAGGAGCATGAGGACTGTGGGGCTTTGGCCCAGGAGGTGCCCCAGGCAAGGGCCGCTGCTCTGGTGTGCTGGCTGCCAGCAGGGGGAGGCAGGCTCGGAGAGGCTCAGGATTCAGATTTCCCAGAGAAGACAGAAATTCCAGTTTTTATGTGACATCTTCTGATGTTTAAATTTCCACAAAATGAGATTTCTGAATTTTGATTTAGATCGCCTTTGGAGAATAATTTAAATGAGACTAGAATGTCACAGATAAAGAAAACTAAGTCATCAGGCTCCAAACACTCACCAGCCTCCATCTAAAGTTTTGAAGCCTCTAAGACGCCAAGCACAGGTGACGTATAAGTACAAGTGGTTTGTGCTTGCAGCTGCCTGCCTGATGTAGGCTGCTCAGAAAGGCACAGGCCCTGTGCGTCAGGAGCTCAACCTCATGGCAGAATCGGCCCTGTCAATGGAAGAACTCCAATCCAATTATGTCCAGGGTTGTAACAATGCAGGCAATCTCAGGGGGAACACAGAGGGTGGAGGTCCCAACCCTGTCCTGGGAACTGGGAAGCTTGATAAAGGGATGTGATCTCCACCTGAAGTGTGGCAGGAGCCCCCAGGGAAAGGAGGAGGGTGGAGCAGGGCGCTCCAGACACAGGAAGAGAGGTTTGCCCAGAAGGAGACCAGGGGTGTGTGGCAGGGACCCTGAGAAGGTCTGGGGCTAGAACAGGGCACAGGGGTCACGTGGAAAGGAACGGGAGTTGCGGACAGTGGAATGGGAAGAGGGGCACACAGGGAGCAGCTGGTGAGCACACCCTGGGGAGGGTGGTGGGCAGAGTGGCAGCTCCTCTATGAGGATCCTGGACTCAACAGGAACAGGGTCAAGTGTCTAGTGGAACCATGTGACCTTGCAGATTTTGTAGGACAACAACACCTGGATATGATCAACTTCCTATGCATCAACCTACGAAATGTCAAGGTACAGAGCACAGTGCGGCAGCATCCTCCTGGGCAAACAGCCCAACTATGGCTGCAGGGGAGGCTGCCACCAGGGAGTGTCTTCCCATCCCCTTCCAGACCGTATTTATGACCGGGGCACCCTACTCCTGCTCTTGTTCCTGTATCCCCATTTCAGATCACCTTCAACACAGTGAAGTCTTGGAGAAACTTCAGGTACTGCAGGACTTGCAACCCTTAGAAGTCACAAACCATGCATGCATTTGTCATTCTAGCCGAGCCGTGTTAAGTGTGGTTCTCACACACCTTTCTATTTCCAGGGTCTCACACAGTGCCTGGTACATAGTTCTCAAAAATAAATAGACATACAAATAATGACAGGCTTGAGTGAGGCTCAAGAGGTACAGTGTGTGTTAGGGTTGACTGAGCCACAGCCACTTACACTGTAACAGCACTTTTAGGAAGAAACATGCCTGCCTGCTTCTCCTGGCCCACAGCCCACGCCTTTGTGGCAGAGTGTGTACAAAGGGTACCTGGTCTCCCCGGGAAGGAAGGTGATCGGCATGGTCTCCGGGCAGCCCTGGCCAGGGTGCCAGCTGGCTTTGCAGGTGGAACAGAATTCCATATGGCAGGCTTTGCACTGCACTGGCTGGGGGGTCTGCAGCCCCACGTCCTGGAGCTGACACACAGCCTGGCAGGTGGACGCTGGGCACCAAGTCCGACAGGGATCAAACAGCACCTCTGGTATAGGGAGACAAAATGGGCAAATCAAACTTAAGCCAGAGGGTCATGTGGGCTTCAGAGGAAGGAGCCCCTCAGTGCACGGACAGGAGGAACACGTCCAGGTAATACAGCCAGCATCACCAGCCGCAACCGAAGCACTGCCCAAGTCACCCTTCCACCTCCACCTCCCAACTTCTCCCTTCATGCAACAGACCTCCAGACACCCCAGGCATCCCTCAGGAATGCTGCTTCTGTCCCTGGAATGCCCTTGGAGCCCTGGGTCAGCCCTGCTTGCCTCCGGGACTCAGCTCACAGCTCAAAGGCCTCCACATTCTGGAAAGCTTGTCCCACCTGCCTGTCAGGTTTCTCTGAGCAACACACATCGTGCTAGCTCATCTGCCTCCCCTAGGGGACAGCTTTCGGAAGCCGGGCCCCTGATGTGCCCGTGTTGGGCACACGACCAGCACCAGGAAAACGCTGTTAGGAGACGGAAAGGAAGAGGGAAGAAGATGGCTGGATTATTCTTCTAACCAAATGGTTCACCTGCCTAAGATGGCCTCCCCTTCTCAAATCCAAGCCATGAGTTAACTACGGAGTGAAACCAACCCTTCAAGGGCCAGATTTTCTCTCCGAATCACAGCGCACATTTCTAAGAGCCCAATCTTATGGAACTGGCCAAGAAGCTTATTTCTAAAAACAGGACACCTTGACACATCTATTTCTTCACATCCTTGTCCAAAAATTGCATTTCTTTAAATTATTGGCTGCCCTTTGTAAGGAGACTGGTTGTTCACTTCATCTTCCCTCTTGTCCAGCATGACGCCGAATTCTCGATGAGGGGCCACCCCAGGGAGAAGGAAGGCTCTGCCAGAAAGCTCTCCGAGGCCAGTGCAATGTGGGTTATTTCCAAAGGCGTTCTGGTAGGCCACTGGTTTCTAAGTTTTCAGCAGGGCTCTTCTTGGGAAGTCGTCATCCGTCGGGACAACTGAGTTTCAGAGATGACTTGAAAGGCGATGACAAGTCCTTGCAAACGTCCGGGCCCTGTGACTGGCAGCCGGGCAGCTCCCGCTTACCTGCATCACACATGGGATTCCTCTCACTGGAATCCACAACAGGCTGGCGCCACGCGTGGACCAGGACTTCACCTACACGCATTGCCACGGGACCAGCAGCAAATTAACGACGAATCACCAGCTGGGTGTCCTGACGGTGCACACGCATATGTACGTGTAAGGCTCTGTGTGTTTACATGTTCCCCAAATACACGGGGAAGCCAGATTCAGCGCTCTAGAAACCATCTTGTGTAGGGTCTAGCTTTGAAATAATCTAGTCATCTAATCCAGGGGCTGGCAAACTTCCTCTGTAGAGGGTCGGATAGTCATCATAGAAGTCGAGGACCAAGTTGTTTCTGGGTTTCTGTAGTAACTACTGGGTTTTGCTGTTGCAGCACAAAAGCAGACACAGTGACCTGGAGATGAATGTTCCAGCAAAACTTGACAGCAGCAGGAGGCCACTGGCTGGATTGGATTTGGCCCACTGGCCATGGCAGGCTGACCCTTGATCTCCTCTGGCTGCTCCCTGCATTTTTTTTAAAGCGTGAATTAATCAACAGCACAAAAACTGTCCGAATGTTAGGGGTGGTAGAAAATTAAGAAGAACTTGATAATAACGAGGAATGCTGGAGGTCAGGAACAGGTGCTCTACTCTAATTATCTTCATTAGAATAATCTAAAATCCCCAGGGTGCTCCTCATATTGAGTGAATGGACATATTTAGCTCTTCTCTTACTTGTGGATAGTTTCTGCATTTGCTTTCCTAAGAATGTTCCTAGCTGTCGGTTCTGAAAAGTGGCTTTTTGAGAAAATGTAGTTGTTGTCTGCGGGTCACCTGTGTGGGGGCAGATTCCTGGGGCTCCCCTGAGCTGAGGGTCCACAGCAAAGCAAGGAGGGGCTGCACGTGCCGGCCTGGGGCACTGAGCGCCACACTGAGCAGTGAGGAGGAAACGCCCAAGGCTAAAGGCAGCTGGCCTGGGTCACGCTCCCATCCCGTACCTGCGATGCCTCCAACAACTCTCTGCCTGCTGTCTGTGCATGCTGTGGGGTGAGCCCAGCTTTGTCCCTGGTGAGATAGGAGGCCCGTGTCTGCCCAGCCCTGCAGGAGGATGCAAGTGCTCTGTGCACTAAACAATACACTGCGCGCGAAGAGAAATCCTCTCACTCTTTGCTCTCCTGCCGGTATAGCTCTGGGGCTAGACCCAGAAGGGCAGTGCTGCCTGCTAGGGACCCTTCTGTCCCACTGTTGACCCCACCCCTCCAGTGTGGTGAGGAGCTTCTGACATCAGCAAGGAGCAGATGTCCCAAAGCTGGGTCTTGGTCTCTTCATGCACGTGATGGTCATGCACCGCCTCCTGCTCACCCTCCTGGCTCAAGAGGGGGAGATGCTATTATGCGCCCCCATCACGAAAGGCCCCCCAGGACAGCACGCAGGGGAGACCTGGCTAAGGTTTCCATGGGAACGATTTAAATCTTATTAGTTTTGTCCTCACAGAGCTGTGACTTGGCACTGCCTGTCCTCATAGGGACAGATTCCTCATCGAAAAGGTCAGGGACAAATGGCTGCTCAGACTGCCGACTGCAAACGTGCTTCCCGTGCTGCCAGGGCACGTCACACCCTGTGAACATGGCCCCAGGCTCAGGTGTAGATGTCTATTAACATTCTGCATTATCTTCCCCATTATCCTCCCCAATCTACATACGTGTGTAGTGTATGAGACATATTTTCAAACAGAGCAAATAATATATTTTTGGCACACTAGAGGAAACTAATGTTAATTCTTATCTCCCAGAGGTGTATTCATCGCAGGTTAATGAAGCAGGTCTCTAAGAACTCCCTGCTTAAAAATGCCTAAGACTTTTTAAAAAGGTGGCTTTCCTTTTAAAACAGTTTCCTTTCAGAAGCACATGACAGATGACAGTGCACCCAGCATCCCCTCTCATCCCTGCACTTACTACCCTGCCCGGCCGGGATGGTGCCTGGTGTGGGGCTGGGATGCTGGGTTTCATCCTACTGTGAGATGGTAACATTTTCAGGTGTTGGCTCTAGTCGGGCCTGATTACAGGTGGATAACCCGTTGTATTATTTAATCTCTCTGAGCTTTACTTTGTTTTTAAAAAACAAAACAAAACCATACATGGTGAGATTTGACGTCAGCATTCACTTGGCCTGGCACTGGGCTGGCAGTGGGATGTAGGCATGAGGACCCACAGTGCTATCTCTGGGACGGCTGAGCCTCCAGACAGAGGAACGTGCGCAGGAACACCCTTAGCACAGCACCGCTGGGTCTCAGAGGGGCACGGGCGTCAAGTGTAGCATGGAGAGAGGGGTCCACACCCCCTCACTCAAGAATCTGTCCCTCCCCAGACTCTGGAGTGAGCCAGTTGTGAGGAGGTGCTCAGAATGAAAACCCAGCTTCCTGGCCCCCTTCCCTGGCTTCCTGCTTGCTCCAGAAGGGGAGACATGGACACTAAATCCAGTGTCTCCTGTTATATCAGAGGAGACACTCTAAGACTAAATGCAGACAGCGTGCGCAAGATGACCTAACCATAGAACTTTCTGGTAACTAAATGTTTTCAGAAAATCATTGAACTGCCTCAGTTTTCTTCCAGAGCATCCTCTACTGACTAGATTTTAGAGGCACAGAGAAATCAAAATGTGCTTTCTGATCTTGTCTCCAAACTCTTTCAAGGTGCTGGCTATAATCCATAGCTATATTTTAGCTCTGACATTCTAACATTTTATCTAGACAGGTCTTTTATTGTATTAAGTCTGAATACTTAAAAAAATACTTTTAACATAATGTCAGTAAAATGTTTTAAAGTGAGAGGTTTGAGAGATTTTTTTTTTTAACGGAAGCCAAGTTGGCTTCATGTTTATGCAAAAGGAAAAAAGATTTTTTGACTAAGCCAAAGTACTAAAGAAATAACAGTTAAAATTATTAGGTTGGAAAATGTACCCAGCTGCATTTTAAAATTAAATTCAATGTCATAGAAAGTTCATATTCTTGTAACGCAAACAACAGCCAGTTTCTGTCAAGATTCTCTCTGGAAAATATTCTCAGAAGAGCCTGAAAGTCTCAGAAATCCAAATTAATCCATTTTATTGCTCTACATACTGACTTTTGTACCAAATGACATTATATTAAAGCTATAAACTGCCCCAAAGCAAATGATATACGACACTTAAATAAACACACTCTTGAAAACAAATGGCAATGCCATGAAAAATCCTGTTTGAGTCTTTTTTAAGTAGGCTACATATTTTTTTTCTTTCTTTCTTTTTTTAAAGACAGGGTCTCGATATGTTGCCCAAGCTGGACTTGAACTCCTGAGTAGCTGAGACTGTAGGTACATGCCACTGGGCCCAGCTATCTCTAGCATTTCTTTTACACAGCAAAAATATACAAACAGCAGGTCTCTACATGCAGCTAAACTGGGAGTCTCTGGATATTGTCCTCTGGTCTCGTCTCCTCTACCGTCCACTCCCCCTCTGGCCATGCTTTCATGTAAGCCCATCCTCCAGGGCTGTGTCTCAGTAGTGAGACCCTGTTCAGGTCAAGAACCCGAGAATTCGTGCAGGGAGAGGGAGAGCAGATGCCAGCAATCCAAACTCAGAATCCGTCTGCAGGGTCCTCACGATGATGTTCTGCATAAGGAGTGCCGCCTGCACACATCTGTCACTCTGCTCTTTAGCAGACGAGCCTGGGGCCCAGAAGAGATATGAAAACAAAGCCAAATAGAGTCCACAGACCCTTTACGGTTTCATTGTTTGAGCCCGGAGTACTTCAGAGAGCAGAGCTAAAGACCTCTCCTGGACATTCCACATGGCTTAATGCTTTGCAATATGATCCTGAGAATCATACTCTGCTCTGTGTGCACCAGCCACACTGCTCTCCCAGAGGACCCCTGGGTCTGCATCAGGCCTGCTCCAGCCAGGAGGGCTATGCAAGGCCCAGTGGAGAGCGCATGTCGAAGGGTCATGGGATGTGGTCCCAAAGCACCCACTATATTTAGAAATCAGGGCAAGTCAGTTAGCCTCTCTGGGGATTCATTTATTAGATAATGACAAATTAGCTTTGCAGAGTTGTTGTGTCACTTACTGGGATAAGGGACTTGATTATTCATTTAGCACCTACTATCTAGGCCTGTGTCCAGTGGTGAGTAAGTGCAGACAGGACACCTACCATTGGACTGTTGTTAGGATGGGGGTTACTGTAATTTCTGCTATGCCTACCCTCATGACTTCCCTCTGTGACTTTGCATTTTTTAAATTCTGGGCCAGCCCAAGAGTTTAGCCCTCAAACTCTTAGCCTTAAGCTGGCTGAAATCTAATACCTCATGAGAGCCATCATCTTTAAACCTCCCCCAGGAGCCTATAAATCCCTATAAACGAATTATGTTCCATAAATTCTTCCTGCTACCAAACAGATCACTAGACAAGGTCTTCAAACTGTGAGCTGTTCAGAGAATCCGGAATGTCAGTTTAATTTCAGAAGTTTAGTTTACATCAACTTTTTAACTCCTATCAAATGCTGTATAACCATATCTACCAAAAGAACTCCCCACAAAATTATCCACTTTCATACATTACAGGAATCATAACTGGCAGACATATCAGGCACCTACCTCTTTCAAATTGTAGCTTTTTATATCTTTGCATAATTTCAGCGGCAACCATGCACTCAATCTAAGGGGGAAAAAATGCAAACAAGAAAGATAACAAGCTGAGGGCTACAATATAATGCAATGTACACCCAAACAAAACCCACGTTATTCTGACAAGTTCAGCTGTGCACGCTAGAGCACATCAAACAGCCCAGTCTGTTCAATTGCACATGCCTCGTTCTCCTGTAGGTGGCCCTGTTTAGGGCAGGCAGCATCTGGGCAGCTAATTGCGGTTTCTAATCCTTCTTTGATCAAGAGCTCAACATACTGTTTCAGGCACTGAAAGAAAAACAGAGAAAGGTCTATAAACATCTTTACCTCCTTAATGCTGAAGAAATCATGATGCATTAAAAAAAGGACCAAGAACATTGTTGCATTATAGTTTAATATTTTCACTGTCTAGCCCACAGCAACCAACAAATTCGAGGTTTCGAGGTTTTATTCATTCAATATTTATGGGGTACCCATTCTGTGCCAGGGACCGTATGCTCAATCACAAAGCTAAGGCTATGGGTTAGATCCCTGCACAAAACCTCAGCAAACACAAGAGCCAAGAATTCTAAAAGCAAGAAGAAAGGCTGCAAGAGAGGCTGGGAGGTAATATTTCTCAAATGCCTATGAGATGCAGCCACTGCATTAAATATTTTATCTCCCAGTGTTTCATTGAAGCCTTAGAGCATTTCTACAAGAAAGGTATGACTGTTCCATTTTTCATATGTGAAAACTGAGTCAGCAAAGAAGGAAGTTGCCAACTTCCACAGATAGTACCCAGAGCCTCGATGTGAACCCAAGCTTGCTCAGACAAAATGCTCACGTTCTCCCTGCTGAGAACCCAACTATATTTGGCATTCCTCACTCAGGGTGCCTCACTTACCTGGCAATTACTCACTATCTACCTTACCTACTTGGAGGCCCTGCTTAAAGCCTAAAGTAAGTCAAACAAGAGTAAGTGAAGGAAACGAAGTAGAGTTAACATAAAAGAGTCTGTGGTCTTCACTCCTGCTTTACAAAGTCTACTAGTCTTAGAAATCTAGTGTTTCCCTGAAAAGCATATTAGAAACAGCAATGAGAAGAAACAATATGACCTTTGCCAGCTAGGCTCACTACCAAGAGAAACTAGATGTAGAGCTTATATAAGAACTCAAAGAGCATACAAAATGACGTAAAATCCCACAATGGCATCCGCAAATCAACTTCAATCAGAGTCCCAGTATATTTAAAGTTCATATTAGCAATAATATATAATATTACAATACCATTATTAAAATATAATAGCAATTAATCAAGAAAATCCATAAGCTATGTTTGCTGATACCTCCCCGCAAAAATGTATAACCCATTTTATTACAAGAATGTATGATCATTACTAATGAATGGGTCTAAACGGAAATCCAACTGCAATTCCTTCTACCTCCATGTTTAGAACAAGTCTGTTAATCTCTCTCTACCATCCTTATTTTCCTGCTCTGCAATTTAGGGTGGTTTAACCTATCTCACAGTGGAGTTGTAAGAATCTCAGGCAAGGGAAAAAGTTTAGAAGAGTAACAGAAAAGAGTATATGCTTGATATATAAAGAATAATTTGATCTAAACTGGTAATACTGCCCATCCTAGCAAAATAGAATATTCCATTCACTGAAGACTCCAGATTGCAATTTCTTTTAAAAATAAAAATCAAGGTCATCCTCAGAAAGATCCACTTCCCAAAGCTTTTCTCAAGAGCTACAACTTCAAGTGCAAATTACAACGTTGGTGGCTCCACACTGAACCCTGTGTTCCAGCCTGTGTTCTTTTGATCTGCCTGGGCTCTGATGATTGCAGTGGCTCTGAACTGAGGTTTACACAGATAATCCACATTTTGCCAACCTAAGGTTTAGGAAGACAGTTCCCAGAGTAGTGAGTATGGACGAGCCCAGGCTTGGAGTTCTACGTGAGACTCCAGATGGCAGAATTTTCAGAGATGAATTCATTAAAACCAATGCAAAGGCTTTTCTCAGAACAAGGGAGAGGCAGAGGATGAGCAAGAGAGGAGTCACACCCAGGCTCCAGCAGGGCTGCAGCATGGTCCTGGGCAGCATCCGCCGACACGTTAAGTGGCAGTGGTGCTGTGGACTACTAGAGTGGTGAACCATTGTAACAATGAGCTGGACAGTTGGCAGACCAGTGGAACTTTCTGTTTATGACTGGGTGCCACATGACAAGGGAGAAAGACTGTAGGCTTCAGAGCCAGACAGGCTCAACCAATCCTTGTCCCTCAAGTCAGAGTTTGGGCAACAGCTCCCTTGACAATAAAATCAGAATGCCCATCTCCCTGCACTTTTGTGACAGTAATCTGTGAAAGCACCTGGCATAATTCCTGGTAGACAGCACCAGCTACGTAAATAGTGGTTGTTGTTTCTTTTTTGTCTACTTACGTGATATGTCTCTTACAGTTATAGGCATTTAAAAATCCCAAAACCTTGGCAACAAGATCATTACTTTACTTTCTATTATGAAGTTTGTCTAAATTGGGTCTCTGGAGGATACTGGAATGCCTTAAACCAATATACGATGCTGGAGACGCTCAGAATATTGTGCAGATCAGCATATAATGATAGAACGTGACTCTTCTAGGAAGCAAAATACAACAATTAAAACCGGCATGAAGCGTACATCCATATGCAACAAGTAGTGAGTCATGTCTGGGTTTCGAAGCTACCCAAGAGTGAACAACACATGTCATCAGGATGCAGCTATCTGTGCAATTTGCAAAAGGATTACGTTCTGGGAATATCAATTTGTTCACTATATAAAGAGAGATGAGGTTCCAAGCACCTGACCTTGCATCCATCAAAAACAAGCCCAGCTTTCTTCCAGATATAAAGTGGGTCATGACTCACAAGCTATGGTTTTCATTCTAATTGCAAAAAGATGTCTTGACATGAGCACAAAAATAGGTAAACAGAGAAACTTCTGTAAAATACACAGCCTGAAAGCAGACACTGACACATTTTCCTACTATTGCACTCATTATAGTAGTCAAATGCTTTCTAAGTTCTAGATTCTATGTGAATCGCATTACCTATGTTAGCTCATTAAACATGCACAAAAGTCATATGGCGTGTTACCACGCTCACACGACAGATGAGAAAACCAAGGCTCAGAGACGTTAACAACAGCTCAAGTAGAAGCACTAGGGCTCAAACCCACGTGTGGCTGGTTCCAAGGCTAGTGAGGTTTTATGTTTGTCTGTCTTAAATTTTTTGCATACTTACTCCTCAATTGAAAACTTTTAGATGAGCCAGTTTAGAGATCTAACATACTACATGAGGACTAACTTTAATACAATTGTATCGTATCAGGGATTGTTGTTAAGTGAGAAGATTTTAGCTGCTCATCACCGTAAAAAGCAGCTATGTGAGATGGTGAATATGCTGGGCTGCTTCGCTATATGACCATTGTATTATCTATATGTATCCCATAATACTACGTTGTAAACCTCAAATACAAACAATAAAATTTATTTTTTTTAAAAAAGAACTCTTTCAAAAGCAATCATTCAATACGTATTTTCTGTTTACCTCATAAACTTTTTTTATAGACAAGGAATCGTACGTACTTTAAAGGGGCATAGTGTCAGTCAACCCCGAGAACATCTCCTTTATATGCTCATGCTGCTGCAAACGCAATGATTCATTTGCAAGGCTGCAAATGCGATCAAGACCCACACGGCGCAGTGTGGAGGAAAGAGGCGTGCAGAGATCATCATCACAATGGGGCCACTTCAAGGGGACAGGGAGGCTCTAACGGGCCAGTACATGGGTAGAGAGGAGGGGTCCCCCCTGGGGGGGATGAGGGAAGGCTTCCCAGAGATGAAAATTTGGCCAGAGGGTCAAAGGCATTGCAGGAAAAAAGGGATCAGCCACACAGAGGGAAGAAAGGGGGGTAAGCCACAGAATGTTCCAGGAATTTCATTTTCCACTTTGGTTTCCAACTATTTGAAACCTGATGAGGAGACAGCACTGCTGATTTGCTAATATACCTCCGGTGCGTCACAAGTTTCCTGCCAAGGAGAAGCGGCCACGGAGAAATATCGGCCTCGCCTAAAACTACAGCAAGTCTGATTTTTGTCTGCTTTTTCACACGAAGGCCTGTTGGCTACTGATGACCCTACAAGCAGGAGAAAATGCCCAGAAACTGTGCTCAAAGGTGCTTATCTGGGATCCACGATTTATGAACACAAGCATTACATGCAGGCAGGTCCAAACTGAAGCAGCAAGAGTCCCACGAACAGTGGTTGGGAGCAAAGACCCTGGAATCACAAGGCTGCCTTGAAATTACAGCTCACCCACTTTGCAGACATGTGGGTCTAGCGTGGACCTTCGTTTCCCAGTGTCTCCCCTTCCTAATACTGTGGGATAAGCGTGGCGGACAGAAGCACAATCACTCCACAGCTCCAGTGCCCCGGAGACAGTGGTGCTCTGGCATACTGCTCACACGCTCCGCAAGGCTTTCTCTCAGCCTTTCTAGAGCCATCAATAATCCATGGTCTGTGGATGTTTCTCCTCTAGTCGATGGTGAATTCTTTGAAAGCAAGATCTATTAATTATTTATCTTTCTATTCCCCATACCTAACAGAGTGCTGGCAAACAGCAAGGGATGAATCAAAGCCATGCAGATAGAGGGTGGATGGAAGGACACAGAGATGAGTAGAACACCCACAGAGCAGCCAGACACCTGACAACACCTGGCTGTGGTTAAGCAGGCTGGAGGCACGACCCCCTGCACACCTTCCCTTCTGAGGACAGCCTCATGGGAATCCCCCTGGCAACTCTCACTGGGAGGCCCTGGGAACCTGGAGCGAACTGCCCAGCAAGCTGCACAGTACGTGTTCTGGCAAGGATCACTTTTCTCAAGGATATGGGAACGTGACTTCGCTCACAAGCTGAAGAGTTCAAATTATAAAGTTTGCTTTTATAAAGTTCTTGGAAAAAACAAAACAAAACCAAACCCAGACTTTACGCATAAAATGAATGCTCTCATCTACATGAGTTCTTGCTTCTGTCAAGCCTTTAGACCCGCTGTCTCCCGTGCTCTCGCCACAGCCTTGGGTGGCGCGCAGGAGGCAGGCGCCCATGATCAGCTACTTCAGGTCGTGATGGGCGTGCTGCTCCCCTGCACTACCTTTCTCCCAAGGTATCTAAGACTAAGGCCCTTCAGCTGCAGAACAAGAAGATGATCCTGCTTTGCAGGTGGCATCCTTGCTGGAAGTGTGGATTTTGCCCTATATAAAGTAGGGCC